TCATAATTGTGATGATTATGGCTTACAGTTCATGAAAACCCAAATACACAATCTCAGAAAATTAGAATATTGTGAAAAGGTGCAATATTCTAGGCTCAAAGTGTCCCACTCTAATCAGCTAATTAAACCATAACACCTGCAAAGCATTCCTGAGCCTTTAACTGGTCTTTCAGTCTGGTTCAGTAGGAATCACAATCATGCGAAAGACTGCTGACCTGACAGTTATGCAGAAAACCATCATGCTCCCAACTGTTCTCCTTTGTCTTCCTCATCCTCCTGCCCGATATACCTGTATATTATTGGCAATTGTTTTACAAAGACAAAATGAACAGAAATCAGCAATCCAAGATTGTACATCTGGGATTGCACTATCTTGCAAATAATGAAGAATGCTTTATTTTTGCTGTTCTCAAATAATAAACCTCATTGATATTTTAAAGGATTTAAAACTGATGGTTATTAAACCAAAGTAGGCAACAAGAAGTTCATATCCTATGAACCAAAGTAGGCAATAACAAGTTCATATCATATGAATAAATGTCTCCTCCCCATTTTACACTCAAACAAAATGAGGTTCAACTAAAAAATTTAAACATTCTTTGGTATTTTTTTGTCAAACTAGTCTCTTAAGATCATAAGAAAACTGACAGGAGTTTAAAGCTCTGGGAAAACATTAAGACCAGATTCCAAAATCAAGAAATATTTCAATTGAATGTACTGCTGTGTTTGCTCTTTTATGTGATTGAGATCCTTCTTGTAATAACTCAAATGATTAAAAAACTTGATTTGACAATCAGTTGATTTAAATGATTTAACACCTTACTTGTTCAGTATTCAAAATTAAAAACAAATGATTTATCTTTATTTCAGGCTGAGATTATCTAGCATGAAAATTTATTATATGATTTAAGAGTGAAACTACATTTCTATCCCAATGTCTTTCAGTTGTGCCTTGCAATTTTTAATAAAATAACAGAGGTATGGCTAAAAATGGAGCCAAGCTGCTACTATCACATAATATTTTTTTACCTATGCCCACATGGTAGTGTTCCTTTTTAAATGTTCCACAAAGATACTGAATTCAAAATATATATCCTTTAATAAAACTGAAAGCCAGGAAGTGTCCAAAGCTGCTTTGAATCATGAGATGGATGGCATATAAATGTAACTAATAAATAAAAAAGTTAAAATCTACATCATTATATGGTAGTTACAACTAAATACAGGAAATAGCAATAACAATAGACTTATGTACCACTTTATAATGCTTTAAACGCCTCTCTAAGCAGTTTACAGAATCAGCATGTTGTTCCCCAGGGACGTGCAGTCACTAGAGGCAGGGGAGGCGGGGCCTCACCAGTCTCCTGAGGGAAAGAAAAGAATTTAAAAATTTTTTTTTTAAATAATTAAAGCCAGGATAGTTGCTACCAGATTTAAAGTCACAGTGGCTTGGTGTCTGCTATCAG